TTTTTTTTCAAAAACATTTTCTGTATTTTTTTTTTTTTTTGTCTGTATTATTAGGGCAGGGGCCGGAAGGGCCAGGAGGGCTGGGGCAGGGGCTGGGGGGCAGGAGCTCCGGGCTCACGCGGCTAGACCCGGCCGGCGGCAGAGACGCGCTGAGCCCGCCCGCGAGCAGGAGGCTGACTCGAGTATAAGCCGAGGGGGGCATTTTTCAGCACAAAAAATGTGCTGAAAAACTCGGCTTATACTCGAGTATATACGGTATTTAAGTTCACCACTACAGAGTCACTTGGTTCTAACCATCCTTAGGGTCTCCATTAACTAGGCCTAGAAGAAAGTCTTTCAAATTCATGTCTTGCTGTTCAAACCCTGTTATCCGGGAACTTTTCAGGAAGAGACCATGCAGTTACAATAAGATGATCAAGGACAGGGCACCTAGAGAATGTGAATATATTTTGTCTTATGCAACTTTCTTTTAGTTGGAAATATACTTCGCTCCTACACAGATTCTCTATAATATTATGCCAGCTTTTCACAGAATACCACAACACTACCATACAGCATGGAAAGTGTCACTAGGGACAGGCAATGAAGAGTCAACGCACTGCCGCGCACAGAACAAGAGATGGAGGCACACACCTATCAATAGGTGTTACACTTAGTGAACTAGTCCTGAAGTTAATAAGGTAAACTGAATGTCTGGTGTGTATTATACACACAAGTCTGCAGTGAAGCTTTTAGCTGCTACGTGCTGACAATTTTATCATTAGCAAACACATAGCATCCTAAGACAGTTGTGAATGCCATAAAATACAACTAGTATGCTCAAAATGCTTGTTAACATGACTTTGAAACTGTTGTAATGGATAACAAGCATATGCATTTTCCAGTAACTAGCTATGACATTTCCTGGTTACTGAAGGCAAATAAAACTGTTCCTGAAATTTCAGTCATCCCAACATTACTAGCATTAAAAAAGCAGATTGTTTCAAATATTTCAAGATAATTTATTTTAACACCGTATAAAATGGTTAAGATTGGTTTTGAAACAGTAAGTATCAACATAAGTGAAAGACTGCCTGAAGAACACATCTGTCCCATTAAGGCAATTTTGATGAGCTAGTAATATTGAAGCTGCACAGACATTCAACAAGTAAACTCAGCACACTGGATTTTTCTTTAGTGGGATGGAGACAAGGCCCAAGCTCACCTTGGACGTCTTCTTCTCCACCATCACCATCCTCTTCCTCATTGTAGGCCAGTTCAGCCTGCTTGTCTGCCTCATACTCACCCACGTTACCATCATCCCCATTATAATCCGCCAATTTAGAGCCATGCTGCGGATCAACAGGGGATTCATTCTCATCAAAGAATCGGCCTGTGAAGTAGGCAAAGGGTTAAGTCAGAAGGAAAGAAAAGAAAAGAAAAGAAAAGAAAAGAAAAAAAAAGAAAAGGATTCTAACAAAGCAGACCATACGTTAGACCTCACAGCCATGTTAGTTGTGAAAAACAAATACTGTTTTATGAAACATCTCTATGCAAAAATATTTATTTGATTTAAATGGAGTTTTGAGAATTCTGCTGGTCAGTGGCAGTCCTGCTAGCTCTTCTAGTATCTGGTTCCTATTGGCTTCACTAGGAGGGAAAAAAGTGTTTAAATGGCTCCATATGTGAAAATCCAGAAATGCCATTCACTTTTCCTTGAATACCAGGATTTATTCACGAGAACGAAGAATTTTTTAATTTAGATTTGCCAGACTTTTACCATCACACTGGCAAAAATTCAAAAAATATTCTCCTTAGAAAGCAGATTAATGGTTTTCTATGCATAGTGATGATGAATAAAATAAAATAAAATTCCAGCTAATCTCTTGAGTGCACCATGCTGTGTATGGGTGAAATCCAACAAAGATCTGTCTGGAGTCTTTGGAATATTATTGTTGAACTATGTAGTTACTATATCTTTATACTCAGGGCTTGACAAAGCATTGAATCTACTTGCCCGTGGCGAGTAGATTTCAGCTGGGCACCCAGTTTGTTTCCAGTGCGTGCATGCGCAATACAGGTCTTGCGCATGCGCAGTGCGGGGCTGGTGAGCGGCTTTTGCCGCCGTTCATCAAGCCCTGTTTATACTAACTTTCCTGTTAGAATGTAAAAATTTAGAAAATACAGTAAATATCTTGTAGAAAAACCATCAATTAGTTGAAATTACAAACTACACAAACTAAAAATGAGAGAAGTTTAATGGTTTAATGTCAAATTGAGAACAGGTGTTCAGGGAAGAGTGTGTGCGCACGCACAATCAATACAATTCGAAAAATCGGTGCAATATGCTAACCAAATTCACAGATATGAACCTGGTAGGATGACAACAAGAGGCTAGATTAAAATGCAGTACAATTATTATACACTGTAGACACGAGGTGAAAAAAACCCAGTCATGACAGATGTAAAAAGCAATGAAATGCAGAAAAACTGAATGGGAGAACGCCACTTCAACAAAAGAAAAATGTATGTGCTATGGATGATCTGATTGTGCAAATGGGCAATTGCATTAAGAAAAGCTAATGCTTCACTATGTGTGATTAACAGAGGCTGACAAATACCAAGTAAGGTTTTCCATAAATATTTGCTTGAATTTTTAAGTGAGTCCTCTTCAACTATGTTTGTTCATCTTCTTTATTGCACTAATGTTCACAGAAAGCAAATCTGAGCTTACAAGGCACAAGCAGTCCATAGACAGTTTCTAAATTATATACAAAACGACTGAAGATTACACGCACGGGCATGGATTAAATGCATTCATGCAGTCACAAGGGAGACATGGAACAGAACAATACCATGTTTCTTATTTAGCTATCACAGTTAGTAAACAAGCGCACACATTTACTGAGGTGTACTAGCCTCATTTCAGAACTTCTCAAAATTAATCCATACACTCACAAAAATAGCTTCACACAGAGAGGAAATGATGATCTGCTCACAATTTAGATTCGTTACACATTTCCCACTCAGGTGTAAGAAATGTCAATGCTAATTATTACTCTGTGTATTGTTGGTACTGCATTTTAAGCAAATGAAGGCTGGAACTTAGGAGAGAAGTACATCTGTTAAGTTTTGTAAATAAAGACTTATGAGGAATAGATAAGAACTGATTGTGCTCAGGCTACAGAAAAAGAAATGACACTGTGTGTTCAAATATGAAAAGTACAAGATCAACTTCAGCTAGCCACTGTTAGGGTAACCTTTAGCCAGATAATTCAGATTAAAAACTGAGCAACACAGTAGGAAACAGAGTAAACTGTCAAAGAGTTGTGAAACTGGACTTAACTTCATATAGTGAAGGCTAGAATGGACTAATGTCTCTCAAGGTTTCTTTAAGAATAATTAAACCCATTTTGCCACAAAGAACAGAAATATAGTTGATGATCTTATGCCAGAAATATCAGAAAATTGTAGTTTTGAATAAAGTGTCCCTAGAAAAAGAGAATAAGGCCAACAGAAGATTCAGTGCCAAGTGCTGAACAGCTTCCATGTCTACAGTGTCATTAAATTATCCTGAATTCAAACAGAACACAATATTTTGTCCATTAATATGAGAATAGAAATAGCTTACTCTCAATTTCATGACTGTTCAAATGTTTAGAAAAAAAATTCAAACTTCAATACCAGTATATAAGACACACAAAAAATATCAATCATTTTGAGAATTAAAGATTAAACCTCCATTTAAAACATGAAGGGAGGAGATGAAGTGTTTGGACCAATTTCCAGTATTCAAAAAATTGTGAAGACCAAGCATGATTTAGCAGCACAGTAAAATTTGGCAATAAAACCCATTCAAAGTAGTGATGGGCAACCTAGGTTAGTGAGTGGGACACACGAGTGGACCTCCATCTCAGTGGGCCGCAGAACGGTCATAACGAAGATGGTTTCCTGGGATTGGTTAGTTTTTCTATCTGTGCATGTGTACCTAGAATGTGCAGGGCATGCTAAGTGAACCTTAGCAGTGCTCTGATTGGGTGCAGCAGGAGCGCATGGCTCTCTCCGTCAATGTTGTGTGCAACCAGTACTCACCTCACTTTATGTACTCTTGCTTGCCCTGCATGTCACTTCAGTAATACCAGTAGGAAAAAAAATGAGGATGGAAACCAGTGGAATCTCGCAACCCTGCATTTGGGCAATGGTGAACAAAATGTTTGTGGGGCCGCAGGTTGCCCTCCACCTGTGTTCCCTCGAAGCTGTATGGCAGCACAGCTTCACTCAGGGCTCTCACCTGTGAAGCTGTACTGCCCCACACCTTAGAGAGAACACTGCCCACCACTGATTCGAATATTTAAAGAGATCCAAAAATTCATTTAACTGATACTGCACACCAAGTTGCTCACTTAAAAATAAGAGCATAGTTTCCAAGCAATTTAAAAGAAATGTAGAGTGTATTTTTTAAAATTTCAATTTACAGGGATTGAGCTTGGCATGAGAGTTTTTTGTTTAAAGTTAACATGCCTGAGTCTTCCTACAAGTTGTGACAAGATTATTGTTCAATTTGTATTTGAAAATATGCAGAGGCTTTGAATGAGATCAGAACCCTGCTGTGCTAGCTACTGTATACACTAGGGATGTAAACAAGTAGTCAACTAGACGATTAACCGATAAGCCTAGGCTTACTGATTAATCTTATTGACTGCTCATATTTCCTCCCCCTCTTCGAGGCAGCAAGGGGGGTGGGGAAGCAGAAGCTGGTGGGAGCCGCCTTAAGAGCTGGTTACCCCCAGCACTGGCTCCACAGTGCCACCTACTCCCCCCCCGCGTGTTGCCACCTATATCAGAATCTAAGCCGGGGTGGGGAACCTTTCTTGTGTTGGGGGCCTCTGACCCACAAAAAAAATCAGCCAGGGGCCAAACACAGAAACCCTCACTGACATGGCTCCTGACTAAGAAGCAGAAAGACACTTCTCACATTCCCCTCACACACCATAGCCAGGAGGCACCCAGCCTACTAGACTTTATGTGCGCCAGTCCCATGGTGGGACAGTGGGGGGGCTGGAACACCAGCACTGGCTCCCCAAAGTGGGGGAGGGGCGCCGTGAGCCTCGGGAGCCAGATCCAAGCAATCTGGGGGGCCACATCTGGCCCCAAGATTCCCCACCCCTGATCTAAACCAAGAAGCTGGATTACTACAAGAGAAAGGCAGACAATACAGGCTCTGATACTGTAGTAAAAAGTTACTACAGGAAAATCCCAAAAGATTGTAAAGGTTGAACCTCTAGTCCAGTACTCTCTGGTCTGGCAACTAGGGATGTAAGAGATTAGTTGACTATCCAATAAGTAGAAGCTTATCGGATAGTAGACTAGTGATGTGACTAGTCGCTCCCCCCCCTTGCTGCCTCTATCAGAGAGAGGCAGCAAGGGGCGGGGAGCAGGAGAAGTAGAGGTACAGCAGAAACGTTGCAAGTGGGGACTCTCATACATTTGAAAGGCTGAGGCGCCGCAGGGAGCACGAGGCCAGATGGGTCCCCCACTGGTCCCATGCTCTCTCTGGGGCTTCCTTTTGAAATGTACAAGATGCCCACTGGGGCTCTGGTACATTCAAAGGCTGAGGCACCGCAGGGCCAGTGGGGACTCCCCGGCTGGCCCTGCTCCCTGCAGCACCTCAGCCTTTGAAACGTACCAAAGCCCTAATGGGACTCTTGCACATTTCAAAAGGAAGCCCTACACTCCCTGCAGGGCTTTTGAACCATAGCAAGAGCCTGAGCTGTTGCTACAGTTCAAAGGCAGAGGCACCCTTACAGACTAATCGAATAGTCGATAGAAATCCCATCGACTATTTGATTAGTTAATATAACTTTAACATCCCTACTGGCAATATCTGTAGTCTGGCATGATTTTAGTCCACTCATCATGGATGTGGCCAAGTTTCCCTTCGCCCCAAACAGTTTGTTTACAGGCACCAGTCCTGGTTCTCAGGATTCTGTGCTGTTCTTTAGCTCTAATTTACCCCTCAATGTCTTCAAAGAGCCCAGTAAGCAGCGGAAGTGTTGGTGATGCTGCTAGACAATATTGGCCTTCCATGGTCCAGAAAATTCTCTGGTTTGTTACCGGTCAAGACCCAAAGGCCTGACTAGAGAGGTTCAACCTGTATTACAAAAATAAGGGAACACTGCATCTAATAACACAAAAACTTTCAGTAAAACGTTCATGTAAGTTAGGTGTTCAGGATTTTTCCACTTTAAAAAAGCTTGTAGTGAAAATTCTGTTAATTTAAAACAACCCTAAACAAACAGATTTTTCTGGAGATTTCATAAGAGCAGCCAGACTGGGTCAGACCAAAGGTCCATCAAGCCCAGTGTCCTGTCTGCTGACAGTGGCCAATACCAG